CAGAAGCCCATATGGGAAAGTACTCACTTTGGTCACCTCTGGGAGTGGAAACAGAGAGAACAGAAGGCTGGAGACCTGATGTTCTTTATTTGCTCCCCATCAGTATAGCATTGTTTGAGTTTGTACCCTGAGTACATTGTGCTTGCAAACAATGAAAGACTCACATCTTTTAAAAATAGACTCTGAGGAGCATGAGTGAAAATGGAGACCAGTTAGGCAGCTGCTGAAGTGGAACAAGGGGATGGGATGTTGGAGGTGAGTGGCATCAGGGAGGGACTGTGAGAAAAAAAATAACAGGGAAGATGTCCCTCTTCTAGACCACCTGATTCAGGCTTTTTACTTCCCCTCATAACTCTGTTTACAGGGTAGGTGATTTTCTGCTTTATTTCTAAGGAGTCTAGCCAGGGGCCCTATTCTCCAGTGCATCCTAAGCTCAGGCACGATAAGTCCCAGAGGCATGCAGCCTTGGTGCCTGGGGGATGGCAGATTCCAACTCCTGGGTCCCTATATCAAAGCCCCCAACATCCCGTAGTCACCTGTGGCTTTTGGTTTTCCACAGATCACAAAGGCATCAAGGAAGAGGCTCACGGTGAGCCTGGCCTATTCGGAAAACCACCAGATTCGCGTGTCCCAGCAGGACTTCCGGCTGTTCCGCACCCTCTTCCTGCTCATGGTCTCCTTCTTCATCATGTGGAGCCCCATCATCATCACCATCCTCCTCATCCTGATCCAGAACTTCAAGCAGGACCTGGTCATCTGGCCATCTCTCTTCTTCTGGGTGGTGGCCTTCACATTTGCTAACTCGGCCCTAAATCCCATCCTCTACAACATGACACTGTGTAGGAATGAGTGGAAGAAGATTTTCTGCTGCTTCTGGTTCCCAGAAAAGGGAGCCATTTTAACAGACACATCTGTCAAAAGAAATGACTTGTCAATTATTTCCAGCTAATTAGTTTTTCTTTATAGGCCGAGTTTCTCATACCTGGCAAGCTGTGGCATGCTTTTAAACAGAGTTCATTTCCAGGACCCTCCACCAGTGTACCCTGCTTTAAGAAAATGAACCTATGCAAACAAACATCTACAGCATCAGCAAATTAAGGGATGATCATCCAGTTTCACAATAAAATTCCTTTATAAAAGGATTTGTTAACTGGGTGTGGTGGCTCACAGCTGTAATTCCAGCATTTTGAGAGGCTGAGGCGGGTGGATCACATGAGATCAGGAGTTTGAGATCAACCTGACCAACATGGTGAAACCCTGTCTCTACCAAAAATACAAAAAAATTAGCTGGGTGTGGTGGTGGGCATCTGTAATCCCAGCTACTTGGGAGGCTGAGGCAGGAGAATCGCTTCAGTCGGGGAGGCAGAGGTTGCAGTGAGCCGTGATTGTGCCATTGCACTCCAACCAGGGCAACAAGAGCGAAACTCTGTCTAAAAAAAAAAAAAAGGATTTGTTATGGGTTCCTTTTAAATGTGAACTTTTTAAGTGTGTTTGTAATATGATCAAATTTAATAAATATTTGTTTATTACTGTTCATTAATCACATCTTCTACATATAAAGCCACACCATAGTGGTTTCTGAAGTGAGTCTTAAAACTGATTCAGGATGTAGATTTCTCTTCTGAAGGATCACAGCCACCCTATCCCCTACCTTGGACTCACAAGCCTTTAGGATCATTCATTAACATCAAGAGCAACTGAAGAATTTTCAAGGAACAATTAAAGGTGACTTACTTTTTTTTCATTTATAAAAAATGCCATGGACCCTTTTAAGAGAATCAGTGTCATGAAATCAGAGAGAAAGTAGAATGACTCTGAAATGTGTGAGAGTGAGTTCAGGAGTGGTTCACTCCTGATCCATTCAGCAAACATGCCTCTTAAGTGCCAGCGGTGGCAGACAGTATTCTTCGTGCTGGGAATACAGTGGTGAACCAGACAGCCATGGGCCTCTCTCGGAGCTTACCTTCAAGTCAGGGGCAGAAAAACTAAATAAAAGTCAATAAATTATATCTATATTCAGATATATAGATGTATTTGAGATGAGACTCTTGCTCTAATGCCCAGGCTGGAGTGCAATGGCACGATCACGACTCACTGCAGCCTCAAATGCCTTGGCTCAAGCAGTCTGCCTGCCTCAGCCTCCCTAGTAGCTGGGATTACAGGCATGAGCCGCCATGCTTGGCTACAAAGCAATACACAGTAGAGCGTCACAGAGTGACTAAGCACCATGAAGAAAATGGGACAGCAGGCTGTGGTAGTGATGGGAATTTAGATCAGGTGGAGAGGGGCCTAAGCAGACTTTTCCGAGGAGTGACATTTGGATCAAAAGGTAAGCGACCAGAAAGGGCAACTGTGTGAATCGGGGGAAGAGGCTTTGCAGAAGAGATGTTAGTGCAAGGAGGCTGACATGCTTGAAGTGAGGGTGGGGTAAGACTCTTGATGGCGCCTCCTCTGCACCTGGCGCTGCCTTAAATACCCAGCTGGGGCCTGTCAGTTGAAGCCAGAAAAAGTACAGGGCTAGATCACATAGGGCCTAGGAGTTTATTCTGTGTTCCAAGCCCCTGGGGGTTTGCAACTGGAGACTGACATGACCTAATGAATGTGTGCCAATGTTACCCTGGCTGCTGTGCAGGGAATAGACTCTGAGGAGCATGAGTGAAAATGGAGACCAGTTAGGCAGCTGCCGAAGTGGAACAAAGGGATGGGATGTTGGAGGTGAGTGGCATCAGGGAGGGACTGTGAGAAATGACTTATAAATATGCTTTGGAAAGGTAAAACAAAGATGATTTATTGACGGAAAGGATGGAATTGATAGAATGTGAGGGAAAGAAAGGGTTCAAGGGTAATACCCTGGTAGTTTAGCCTGCCATTGGTTGGATGGTGAAGCAGGCAACAAAAATGGGGGAGCCTGGGAATAGATTAGGGGTGGGGAAGCCAAGAGTTTCATGTGGAGCTCATAAGTTTGAAATCCCAGTGACCTGTTCAAATTGAATAGGCAGTTGGATGCAGAGAGATGTGGAGCTTAGGCCTGGAGACACACATTACTTGGAGATATAAATGGTGTTTATAGGCCTATGGTTTTATAAAATACCCCTTGGAGAGATAGAGAGAAACCAGAGTCAAAGACTGAAGCCAGGGACACTCCACCACCTGGAGACTGGGCCAATGGCTGGAATGCACAGCAGCACAGGGCCTGTGTATAGTAGGTGTTCAACTGATCTTTGTTGCTGAGGAAATCGGCACCAGCAGTTGTGACTGCTTGAGCAGTTTCTGGAGCAGCTTGCTTCTGAAGTCAGATTCATGGCAATCACAAGCCCAAGGACAAATGAACAGAGATGTTTGCTCACTTTATTTAATAGATTTGATCAATTAAACCTGTTTCTGGATGTGATGTGTGGCTGTCTTATTGAAGTGGCATCGCCATCTAGGATGAATACCCAGGGTTTGTCATCTTGCACCAAAAGGATTAAGGACATGGACATACATCGGTGAATTAAGGAGCAGAAAATTTAACAGGCAGAAGAAAGGATAAAGGAAAGCAGCTTTTTCTTGTGAAACAGAGGCATATGAAAAAGGAAAAGCAGCAGACCATAGCACATTTTATAGGCAGGCTTGAGGAGGTGGAGTCTGATTTACATAGGGCTCACCGATTGGTTTGACCAGGTGTGGCATTTACATAGGGCGCTGGGAAGGCTGGTTGCCCCACCCAAATCTTATTATGCAAAGAGATTTCCAGCCACCATTTTGAACATGCCTAGTCCCAGGTAGTACATTCCTATGGGTAAAACTGCTGGCCTTCACCCATGCAAGCTTCCAACTTCCTTGCCTATGTCTGCAGCTCGATTTTACAGGCTGCTCTTTGTTAGAAAAGAAAATGATTTGGGAGCTGCTTTTCATTAAGAGGAAAACCTTACCAAGGACTTCCGTACCCTCACTATCTGCCTAATAAGTATTTTCTTTTTGACTCCTATATCATTATGGTTCTCTGAGGCTGTCAAACTGAAGCTGTGGAGCAAGGCTCTGACAGCCTGTGGTTCCATGATAGCGGAAGGCAAAGCTCTCCCATGCACATCACCGGTCTCCTCTGTCTTTGGTGGAGAACACTAGTATGGGGCACCCAGGAGCCTTCCATGGTCTCTGGATATCCCAACACCCAGGCAGAGATCTGTGACCCTTTCCTCACTCCCAGTGCATTTCATAAGACATCAGCCTGGCATCACCAGCTTCAGGGCTCCCCAGAGAGCTAACAGACATTGCCTAATTGAATCCTCACTGCAGCCCATCAAGCAAGGACTATTTTCCCATGACTCCCAAGAAAAGAGGGCAGCTCAGAGGAGCCTTGTAACCAGCCCCAAATCCACAGCTAATATATATATATTTGAACCAGATTTGTGCTTAAACCAAGACCCCCGGTACCAAAGCCTTGCTGCTTTTTTCAAGGTGAAAAATGGAGGCCCCTGGGAACCCCTGGAAAACTGAGGAAGGTGGCCTTGCATGAGGTGATACACTAGGGTTCCCACGTGCTGTTAGTGGTGCAGGACACTAGTGATCTGTCCCAGGCCCTCTACTTAACCCCCACCAAGACCCTCCCTGCACCCCAGGTAGGGGGTGCTCTGATCTTTCCTATAAAATGGGATTTTCCCAGAGCTCACCTTGTCCCCTGAGGGTCAGCCTCTGAAACCCAGCATGGGTAAGCTGCCAGCCCACCCACCTCATAGGCCTAGGGCTGACTGAGGCCTTGGGTTTGCTGGCCTGGCCTCTCTACTCACTTCTGCTTTTGGCACCAGTGCTTTGGCCAGGCTGGTAGGTAAGGATTTCCTGGGTTAAAGAGGGAACCCCCTTTTCAGGAAGTTGGAAGAACTGGTATTTGATAATGGAGATTATGCACTAGAAGAGGCCAAAGGTCAGAAAGAGTCATGTGCTCCTGGTATAAAGAAACGCACCCCACCCATCCATCTGCAGCAGAAACATAAACACAAATGAAAACTCAAACCATAGGACACAGGTAACTGTATTTTAATGAATCAGAGTCCGGAATCCTAAGCCTCAGAAACTTTCAGGAAAGATAGACATTTGCCTGCAAGTAGATTCACTGACCCCCACATGTATCTTTATGTGTAATGAAGGTTTTATGGGAACTGAGGGGAAACAGGGAGAGAAGGGCAAATTACACTCCTAAGATAAATAGATTGAAGACTGAGAACTAATCAGAAGTTCAGATGAAATTAGATTCTTGAAGGTGCTACAAAAGGTTTCTTTCTGATTTGCCATCACAGTAACCTGGAATATACAAAACAAAGCCATTAACGACAGAAAGTGGACCCAGTTTTTAGGTAGACAATGAGCATCATGATGGCCTTGGAGCTGGCTTCATTCAAATGCTTCTTTTTTTTTTTTTTTTTTTTTTTTTGAGATGGAGACTTGCTCTGTTGCCTAGGCCAGAGTGTACTGGTATGGTCTCAGCTCACTGCAACCTCTGCCTCCTAGGTTCAAGTGATTCTCCTGCTTCAGCCTCCCAAGTGGCTGGGATTACAGGCACCCACCACCATACTCAGCACATTTTTGTATTTTCAGTAGAGATGGGTGTCACCATGTTGGCCAGGCTGGTCTCGAACTCCTGACCTCATGATCCACTTGCCTCAGCCTCCCAAAGTGCTGGGATTACAGGTGCAAGCCACTGCGCCCGGTCTCAAATGCTTCTTAATTCAAATGCATTAGCAGATCACAACCCTTAAGGTTAGAGGTGGTTGTAATTTATAAACACCTTCATGGCCGTTTCTGAAACCCACTGAATTTCTCTGGACATAATGGAGGTAGAGAGAACAAGACCTGCCAGATGAACAGGACTTCCTTTGATATTTCTTTTAAGTCAGTCTTAGTGCATTTCAAAGTGTCAGGGACCCATCCTCTGATTTCAGGAAGTGGGGTCCAAGGCAGCCTGACCTGGGACACACTGGTGATGGGTTTATAAAGTGTTTCCATGTCTTATGTCATGTGTCACATGATGGTGTGGCACAAAGGACTTCAGAGTCACAGAACTCTAGGTTTGCATCCAACTCAGCCACGTATGAAAGATTTAGGGCAACTTTCTTCATCGCTGTCAGCCTGTTTTCTCATCTGTACAATGTACGTAATCTACTTCCTAAGGTACCCTGCTGTGGTGGAATCCTTGCCGGCCCTACTTTTAATCCACCCCCAGGGGAAAGCTTCAAAATCAATATGATTTTGGTCTGAGTTCTCATCTGTTTGGTGTAGCGGGTCAGTTCGTGACCAACGGAAATGCTCCATTTTGTTTAATTTTTTTATTTTTAGGTGGAATCTTGCTCTGTCGCCCAGGCTGGAATGCAGTGGCACTATCTCAACTCACTGCAGCCTCCGCCTCCTGGGTTCAAGTCATTCTCCTGCCTCAGCCTCCTGAGTAGTTGGGATTATAGGTGCCCACCACCACTCCCAGTTAATTTTTGTATTTTTAGTAGAGATGGGGTTTTGCCATGTTGGCCTGGCTGGTCTCAAACTCCTGACCTCAAGTGATCTGCCTGCCTCGGCCTCCCAAAGTGCTGGGATTACAGGTGTGAGCCACCATGCCTGGCCCATTTTGTTAAATTTTTTCTACATTTTAGCATTACTGTATTTGGATTTTGAAACCCAGTATCCCATAGAAGTGAGTGAGTGTCCATTCAAACAAAATGGGGCTCTTCCTCCACAATGTTTCTGGGTTTTAAATCAAGATCAGACAAGGGTAATATCTCCTAAAAGATCCTATGGTTGTTCCAGAGAATCTCAGAAAACCCAAGCGAGAAAACCCAGCTAGTCAATGCAATGGCTATTTGGTTTCATATAGAAAAAAGAATGTGTGTTGAAATCATTCTTTTTGGAGCTTACTACGTTGATGCCGTGGAGTTTTTACATCCACGGCCACGAGCTGCCCACTTCTTTACTGGGCAACTCAATCCCAAACAATCTTAATTCAGTCAAAATGTTTTTTTGGGGGTAGCGTTGCAAGGGGTGATAACAGAAATGACCTGAGGAAGCGGAAGAAAAGGAAGAGAGTGCCCATTGCAGTGTTAGTGCCAGGGAACTGGACAAAGGTCTTGCCCATGCCTGCACGAGCCCTGTGAGGAGGCCAGTGAGCAATCTGGCCAAGAAGGATCAGGATTTGGCCTCAGAAAGGGACTCCCAGGACCCCCTGTTTTCTCCGGGATACAGATGAAATGAATTTCACTAGCACGTGGGCCGAAACTCCAAACCAACTACCCTGCAGGGAGGGCCAGGAGGCATCCTGCTCCCTACTCACCGTTGTGGACGATCAGCCTGTACTGCCTGGCCAGGCACAGCTCCTCCTGCCGCTGCCTTATGATCCTCTGTGCTTCCGGTGGCAGGCCGTTGGGGTCACGGGAAAACACGAAGGAGTAGCTGTCAGCACAGGTGCCGTCGAGGTTCAGGAGGCGGCAGGAGTACTGCACAGCGTACGTGTCGTAGTCCGTGTCGATGATCCAGTGGTCATCATCTGCAAGCCAGAAAGCCACCCTGCCCATCAGTGCCTCTCCCTCAGGGGCTCAGATGTTAGAGAAACCCATGATGAGGCCTGAGAACACAGTGACTTCCAGAAGCTGGTTTTATATCCTTAGGAAGCAGGACACTTCAGAGAATTGACAGCTTTTACACAATTTGGCAAAACGGAACGTATCTTGTTCTCCTTTATTGAAGAAAATCTGGGAGTCAGGGAAGCCTCATTCACTTCAATAATCATCTCTCCCTGTGACTATGTCACTGTAAATGTGACAGCATTATTCCAAAGAACCACCAAGAATGTGGGCTCATCAAAACCACAGAATAAACCTTTCTACTGTTGCTTCGCCATCTACTCTCCAATAATGTCTGTATCTTTCATGGCTCATGTTTGATGGCCACCAACTTATGTTACTCCCAATGTTGGCTTACATTTTCTCCATCTCTATCAGCTGGCTCCTAATCAACCCTCTAACTGCGCTGCCCCCTGCCCGCTCAGTCTGCTGGAGGATGCCACTCCCATGTCATGGCTTCTCTGGCTCCACCCTAACTCTGCTTACTAATGCTACTCACTTCATTGTGCTGTCAAAGAGTGGGTTTTGCCTTGAGGACTCGAGATGCTCACCACGTGGCATCAGCCATTTCTTCTTAGACTTGTCCTCTTCACAACTCACAGAGGCAGAGCTGAGACACTGACTTTAGAATATATGCATTCCTCAAGGCTGAAATATCAGCCATGAAGAGCAAGAGTAAATGAAGGAAAAAAATATCAATGAAGGCAGGAGAGGAAAGAACGTTAATTAGAGCGTATGTGTGGCTGGATGCTGTGGTTCATGCTTGTAATCCCAGCACTTTGGGAGGCTGAGGCAGGAGGGTAACTTGAGGCCAGGAGTTTGAGACCAGCCTGGGCAACATAGTGAGCCCTGGTCTCTATAAAAAATGAAAAAAAATTAGCAAGGTGGGGTGGCGTGCATCTGTGGTCCCTGCTACTTGGGGGGTTGAAGGCGGAGGTCTGCTTTGAGTCAGGAGGTCAAGGCTATAGAGAGCTAGGTTTGCCCCACTGCACTCCAGCCTGAGTGAGAGTGAGACTCCATCTTAAAAAAAAAAAAAGAAAAAAAGAATGTGAGTGACTTGCCACAGCGAAAGAACAGTGTTACCCTATATTCAGATGAAAGTGCCACATTTCTACTTAATTTCGCCTTCATGTTGACAAAATACCATGATTGAGACTTTCTGAGCACTTAATTACATGCCAGTCACCGTATGGACACTTCTTATTAGTCTTCTCAGTTACCTCTCACATTGACCCAAAAGTGCACACTATTGTCCCCTACTTTACAGGTGAGGAAACTGAGGCACAGAGAGACTTAATAATTCACCTAGGGTCACAAAGAGCAGGGCAGAACTGAGATTCAAGCAAGGGAGTGTGATTCCGGAACCCACATGCTTCGCCTCGACACCACTCCCGATAAGTAAACTGGCGGGAAAGCGGCAAAAACAAAAGGCTTTGGGTCTCCATCTCATGCTCAGGGTTGTAACAAGGGGTGATGCTCCCTCTGTAGAGTTCCGGTTGGAGGAGCACAGAGGGAACCAGATCCCCCAGCGTTAGAGGGTGTAAGGCCAGATGGAATGCTTGCCCTAAGTTGCCTCCGGGTGTACCTCTCTGAGAACCCCTGGAGTGCCAGCCTAGGATGGGGTTCAGCCCAAACCCAGGCTCTGCAGGGGGGCTGTCCCAGGAATGGGTATGGAGCCCCTCTCTTCAACTCAGCCTAGGCTTGCCAGGAGGAGAATGAGCCAGTCCTGTGCCTTGAGGCTGTTCCAGGGTGACAGTGTCAGAGGAGGGGCTGAGGAGATGTCCCAGAACCATGACTGCTCAGCAGGGACCATACAGTTATTCAGCAGGAAGACCAGGGACAGAAGCCATGGAGCTACCTGCTGGGCCTCACCCTAACCACTGACTCCCCTCACAGGCTCCAAAGTCTCTGGGTGGTCTTCCTTATCCCTGGACGAAGTCATTCCTTCCCTGGTTATGAAGATCACCGTGTCTGTCACAGGCACTCTCAGACACAAACACACTTGCCTTTGAAATATCACCTCGATTCATCATGCAGGCAGCCATTAGCTTGGCAGGTCTGCAGCTTGGTTTTTTTTTTTTTCCAAAATGGTCACCAGCATGTAAATTTTGACGGAGAAATTAAGTAACTTTCAGTGCTTGGATTTAGTAAAATTGGCTACTGTTCTTGACTTTAAAAGAAGGCCTAGGTTGGTTTGGTTAATCTCCAGGCTCTTTTGGCTGAATAATTCTAAGATGAAGAATTTAAATCAGAGCAACTATGACCAGGGTCTCCCTTTTAAGAGTATTTGCAAGAAGTGAACTGCCAAAGTACTGCGAGAAAGAGGCTGGTTCTCCGGCCTCCTCACACTCGGCAGCTGGGCAGGTTTCCTCCGGAGAACCAGACACCACAGCCGTTTTGACTTTAGCTAACCACATGCAGTGGAGCTAGGGACAAAGAGCACTGGAAGCAGTGGCCGTGTGGCTGGGAGCCCCTGCCAACCCTTTACCATCCTAGGAAGTAGGGTCACGCTGTAGCTTCATCTGCACTCTACCTACAGAGACTGTTTGGAAGGTCAGTGCAAAACCAAAGAAAATGCTTGGTAGAGGGTGCTGTCTCGGGCAACCTGGTTCCATTGGTCTGTTGCTTACTGCTTTGTGCCTGGAACGGGTCTTTTCAGCTCGCCAGACCTGTATGCTCCAATCATCTAAAGCAGCAAGACCAGGTAAGAAGCTTCCTGTGGTACTCAGGCCTAATGGTCCAGCAGAGCCAGCCAGGAAACAGATGTAATGCTACTTCTGATGAATCGTCAAAATACCCCAACAGGCCCCAGCAAAGTGAGTGGAGTCTGAGGCCTTGATACCCAAGTAAGCCAAGATAACTCTTCGGATTGAATCATCTAGACTAGTGGCTCTCAAACTTCATTGTGCAGTAAGAGCATGCCCAAAGAGCATACTTAAAATGCAGACTCCAGGGCCCTGCCCTTAGAGTGTCTGACTCAATAATTCTGGGTTTGAGTCCAGAAATGTGCATTTTTAAACAAGCACACTACTTTATTTAGATATAGGTGGTCCAGGAACCCTGACTTTGAGAAACACTAATGTTAACCTTCAGGCCTGCATTGTGTATTCAGCCTGACGAGAGCCCCTTTGCGAGCAGAGGGACAGGCTTTATCTGACAGAACAAAAGAAGAGTCTTTGTCCATGTCTTTCTGTGAGAGCACAAAACAATGAATGATCATAGCTAATATTTATTGAGCACTTACTATGCACCAGGCTAAGCATTTTCACACATTACCTTAATTAGTCCTTCCAATGATCCTATGAAATAGGAACTATTCCTTCTCTCCATTTCATATCGAAGGAAGTCAAATCTCAGGAAGGCTAGCCTGTATTCAACCAAGACCTGCTGATGGTAATATCCTCAACCCTTGAGACCCTGATATATCCTGCTTGCTGCTGGTGGAGCCAGAAGGGAAGACCTGTACTAAGCATGCCAAGGCTGGAGCAGCAGGCCACATCAGTTTGCTAACACTGACATTTCATGTTCAACTGTAGAGATTGACCACATTTAATTTTAAAATAATTTGACAACAAATTTCATGATCATTTGGCCCTGAGTTATTTTCTCTTCATAAGTGCACCTCATCTTCAACACATCTGCTTGGTGAGATGCAGTGTGTGGAGCAGGGAAGAGACTGAGGATGCAGGCCACTCTCAGAGTGACCTTCACTCTGAGTCCAAGTCAGTGTTTAAACAAGAGCAAGGTCAGGGAAGAAACTGGCACGCAGAATTTGTGAAGAGGACCCCAAAACAAGTATGTTAAACAGAGCAAGGGAGATGCATCAAGCCATGCAGTTTGTAAGATACTCAGAAAACAAGGGATTCTTTGTGCCTTTTTACAAGCCATGGGTTAAGAGATGTCACTAAGTGCCAGAAATTCACCGTGTGCCCCTAGGCCTGTCACTTCTCTATGGGTCCCAGTTTCTTCACTTCTAAAACAAGAGACTTGAACCCAATAGTTTCCATGGGTCCTCTCATTCTAGACCCAGAATCTAAAGCTACGATTTCATGACCAGGGAGGTAACTAAGCAGCCATCATATCAAACACTGACAAAGAACTCATGTCTGAGTGCTTTCTGCCTGTTAACTCGTTGCATCTTGTAACACAACTCCATGAGGTAGGTTCTAGGATCATTTCACTTTGCAGATGAGGAAATAGGCACAGAAAAGTTAGGAGAGATATCCAAGGTTCCACATGTAGTGGTGGAGTTGGGATGTGAACTCAGGAAGTCTAGTTTTAATCGGGCAGGCTTAACTACAACACTGCACAGCTTCTTTTTTGAAATGTAACCTAAGAAGAATTTATCCTTAAGCCTTCCATATTCTAGTCATCTCACTTAATATCTATAGCAATCACTTTCAAGAGTACAATACTTTTTCCCCCTCCTAATGAAATCCTAGATAAAATACCAACATACCAGAGGCAAAAGCAAACTAATCTGGTTTGAGGCAAGAAACAAAATGCTCCCTTCTTATCTGATCTATCCCTAAAGGCACTGCCAACAGCATCCTAGTCCATTAAGGAGCACATCTCAAAATGCTGTAGAGCGTGTCTTTTTTCTTTCTATAAATTAGTAATCTTGTACCTCGTATTGATTTTTGTAATCCATTATCAGAAAAGTATATTTTACTCTAAGTAACCCACTTTGGGAAGTTTTGCTACACTATTTGAAATAACTTTATTAATTCCAAGGATAATAAAATGAAAATAAAGCTTCTAAGCTTTTTCTCTACCAGGTATGGTAGCTCACACTTGTAATCCCAGCAATTTGGGAGGCCGAGATGGGAGGATGGCTTGAGCCCAGGAGATCAAGACCAGCTTGGGCAACCCGAGAGACCTTGACTCTACAAAAAATACAAAAATTAGCCAAGCATGGTAGCCCACACCTGTAGTTCCAGCTGAGGTTGGAGGATCGCTTGAGCCCAAGAGGTTGAGGCTGCAGTGAGCCATGATGGCACCACTTCACTCCAGCCTGGCGACAGAGCGAGACTCTGTCTCAAAAAAAAAAAAAAAAAATTAAAAATTAAATTTCGTCCGACACACAACTTTAGAGGAAGTCCAAGAGTGTGTGCTATGGTTGGAGAGCAATAGGTTACAACAAAGGACACTTCTGCCCTGGATCACTGAGCAAAGAGAGTCTCCTTCAACAACCCTTGGTCCTATCTCACAGAAGAGCTCAAACAATACTTCGCAAAGCTGGTCTGATTAGCCCTTGTAGTTCAGGGCAACCCAGTCCTGGCCTGAGGTTTGGAAGCCTGGCTTCTGACAAGACATTGACTCTAACAAACTCGTTGCATGTCCTTGGGCAAAGTTCTCTTGGCCTCAATTTATTTATCTGTATTTTGAACCCCCTCCAAAAGGTTAACTCTCCCTCTCTAAGATTCCATGATCGGTCTCCCCTGGCCTGCATTATTCTCTAGCTACCAAGTAGATTCTAGATTTAAACCTTAGGATAAAATGGGGGGGAAATGGTCAAAAGAGCATGTAGACACTGTTTTCTCGCAATTAGGCCAAATGTAGGATCTTCTTCTACAAGCCCTCAACATCGCCCCCCTCCACATCTGAATGTCACAGCTTAGGGGAAAGGGAAGAGGCCACTGCCACAGAACACTGTGCCTGGCTCAGAATCTCAGCATCAGCAGGACAGGCACCTGGGAGGCATCCATCCCTCTATGCACAATGCCCCCTGCATCCTTGGATGGGGCTCTCTCAGCCTCTGCGGGAGCCCAGGTAGTCAGGCTGTCTCAGGTATGCAGCCCAGAGAGAGGAGGAGACAGAGGTGGTGTGGTGACCGGGAAGGCAGGAGGAGAAAGCATGGAGAAGGTACACATCTTGGCACAGTGGCTGCTGGAGAACATGACACCTGACAAACCGAAAGGTCCTTCTGAACTTAGGCGAGGTTTTCCGAGCTGAGGCTTGGGAAGGGGGCAGATAGCTACTCCCAATCTTGTTCCCCTAATCTCAGGCAGTGCTCCGGGTTCCTGCCACTTCCAGACCTTTCCACAGGCCATTCTTCCTAAGGGTAGGTACCACTGGAGAAGAAGCTAAGCGATTTGGCTCGGTAGGGCCCCCATTTTCAAGACAGTCCCACAGAGCTGACTACTCACTTCCTTTCTGGAGAAAGGAGGCTACGCCCCAGTACTTCATCTTGAACTTGGCAGGGTCCTCGGTGTCCGTGAAGGTGCCCACCATGTCTGCGCACACGTCCCAGTTACTGCAAAAGCCAAGGGGATCCTCAAGCCAAGTCGGACAAAGGGCTTCCTCCCTCCCTCCACCCTCCCGGTGCTCCCTTCCCTTCACAGTCCCCACGTGGCGATCAGCAGGCAGGGCTCTCGGGAGACCCTGGAACTCAAAGAGCGCAGCTACCCTGGCGGCCACTGACTTCAAAAGACGGACTCGGCCCTTGGCCGTGGCGCTCATCTGGCCGGTCTCGTCCACAGAGAACTCTGCGATGATGTTGTCCTGCAGAAAGAGGCCCTCGGGGTCCTTCTTGGCCATGGCGTACCAGGTCCCGGAAAACTGCGAGAAGGATGACAGCAGGGGTTTGGTATCTGGGGGCTAATGGCGGGCCGCGGGGAGGGCGGGGATGGGGGTGGGGACCCGGGCCGTCCAGACTCCCTGGGCCGATCCGGGCTGATACCTACGCGAGCCTTGTCGAAGTTCTCCTTGACTCGGAAGCTGCTCACCCGGCAGTCGCGCTCCGCCCGGCTGATGCCCAGCACCGCCAGCAGCAAGAGCGCCCACACCCACTTCATCTTGCCCAGGAGTACGCCCTGCGGGAGACGCGCCTCAGTCAGCGCCCAGCAGCCGACCCCCGGGCAGTGCATCCCACCCCACCCCGCCCGACCCATCCCGCCGCCGCCCCGGAGGCCCCTGCCGCCGCTCACCACCAGGAGGAGAGCCGCGAGCAAGCCTGGCTGCAGCGTCCGGGCGCGCGTGGAGCTAGGGAGGCGAGCGCGCTGCGGCCGCCCAGCTGCTTTATAGCGCCGGGGGGAGGGGGTCGCGCTTTCGTAACCACGCGGGGTGAAAGACCGAGGGGGAGGCGCCGGGGACACTTGCATAACGCGCCCTGACTCACCGGCGCCCGGGAGCGGGCAGGGTCCCCGTGGGCCCGCCTCATCTCCGGCGCAGCCCCAGGCGCGGTGGAATGGCCGCGCGGGGTGGCCTCGGCCTGGCCAAATGCGCCAGCGGCCCTGGCTCAGTTACCCTGCAATCTTGCCAGCGGCCGCCAGCTGCGGTCTGGGGTGGCCTCCGGGGCCATTGGCTCCGGCAGCAGGCTCGAGTCAACCTGGCGGGAAGACCGTGGCCTCACAGGGCGAGAGGGGACCCGCGAGGCTGCCTGGTGCGTGAGTGCTCAGGCACTGGCCGTGCCAAATTGGCCTCTCCGTCCGCCCTCTGAGGTCCGCTTGTGCAGGAATTTTGGAATAATTCCTCCAAGTAGTTTTTCATTTTATAAAGGATGTATTTTACTCTCTTTCAGGAGAGTTGTGGTGCCCTCTGGTCAATATTTGTTCTTTAGTTTCAACATCTTTAGAAGCATTAAAACCCTCGCTGTTAAATACTCTCCAGAAATGCAACCCTGGTCAGAACAGGAAATACTTTAGCAGCCTCGGTGGTCTCCCACCTTACTCCGTGGTACTTCCCTGAAACCACTTTGAAAAACACCTACCGATTGTTTATGATGCAATTTGATTTCAAAGCCATATTGGAATTTTTGTTTGTTTTTAGAACAGCTAAAGTTGTCTGTTTTGTTGGCTAGGAGTGGACAAAGGAGAAAAGAGCAGACAAAGAAGAGACGAGTAAGCAGCATTCTATACAATGTCAATGGCCAATTGAATCTAAACCCTGCGACCAGTTTAGGTATTTTGCCTGTGTGATGGCACAATTTACTGACCCTGTTTTTCTCTTTCTGTTCAAAGTTAAGAGTTCCACTTATTTGATCAAAGCAATGAAAGGATGAGAATGACCGAATGAGAATTCAGGATGTGGCAAAGAAGTAGCTCTTCTTAAGAGTCCTTCCATACAATATCAGTTGTGTTTCCATGGCCTAAATTGGAAAGATTCGAGATCAGTTTGGCCATTTTGCTGCAGCCAGACCTGAAATAAAGAGATCGGGGAAGAGGAATGGTGGCAGCCAAACGGATAGAGCATTGGGGCTACTTCCGAGCATCCTGAGAAGACATCAGTGGCTTCCTTCCCACCTCCTTCTCCATCTACTTCCCATCTTCCCCTTTACTCCTGCACCATTTGGGTCCCAGCAGTGTCTGAATGCCAACAATGATGTATTGAACTCCTAACTGCCCCAGAGCTAGGAAAGCCTGTTTCTGGACAACAAGCTAACTAGATCTTCTGATTGGGCCAGTTTTATGGAAGACTGTGTAATCCCAAACAGGCAAATAAGGTCTGCTTCAGACCCACTCTGCAGGACCGTATGGGGCATGGATCTATGCACCCTGCGTGGGAAAGGATGTTAGGGCCCCTCTCTATCTCCTACCCAATGCTTAAATCCTCTTTTCAGCATCCCAGAGGAGAGGTCTTCCAGTTTTTGCTCCAAGTCCTTTAGTGATGGAGAGCTCCTAGCTTAGCCTAATTGCCTTTGGACAGTTATCCCTGCCAAAACGTTCTCCTAAGATCCCCGGCCTTGCAGTCACTTCTCCTAGAACACATTCCTGTGCACACTATCTGTTGAATACATGTAGGGGATTTCAGTGCATTTTCATGATGGGTTTGATGCAGCAACGTGTTTTCATTTATTTGTTGGGTGTTTAAAGGTTGTTTCGGAGTAAAAATTTGAGGTGAAAAAAGGAAAAAAAAGTTGGTGTAACCATTCCTCTGCCCCTTCTCTTTTAATGATAAATCCTGGACCTTAGTGTTCCAGATACCAGCAGAGAAAAACAGTTTATTTTGGCGTTCTTTCTAGGATTTCTTCATGATTACAAATAAACAAATTCAGGTCAACTGATGTTCTTAACATCAGTACTTTGAAAAAGATCCTCATACATTAACTTTTCAAATATGTGTATGTGCAATGTCAAAAAGAAAATGTTCACAGTGAAAACCTCTGTGTGATAGCATTAGGGACATTGAAACTTTTTTCTTTGTGTCTTTCTGTATTTTTAGAGTTTTCTACTGTGAAAATGTTTAATCAGAAAATAAGACAAGTATTCCCTTTACAAATATTTTTCTTGCTCCTTTTTCTATAGGTAAAATTATGTTTTAAATTACATCTTATAGATCGTATATAATGTACACAAAATTTCATTCATTTCCTTGCCATGCTTCATGGAGAGACAGATCATGTTTCTTCATATTTGTATCTGTACCCCACTCCCCACTTTTCCATGGGGTATATCAAGAAGACTTGTTCGTAGGTGCTTAATCCATAGATATAATTTATTTTACTGAAATTAGTCACTCTATGCAAGCTCCATAAAACATTTATTTATTTATTTGATTTATTTTTTTAAGACAGAGTCTTGCTCTGTCACCCAGGCTGGAGGGCAGTGGTGAGATCTCAGCTCACTGCAACCTATGCCTCCCGGGTTGAAGTGATTCTCCTGCCTCAGCCTCCTGAGTAGCTGGGATTACAGGCGGACTTTGGGAGGCTGAGATAATGGATCACAAGTTCAGGAATTCAAGACCAGCCTGGCCAAGATGTTGGCTACCATATACATTCTCAGGATTTAGTACTTGTAGCAGAAAGATTTGCAGTCCCCTTCCATGCTGTAAAGTTGAGGACTACATCTGCCAATCCCTGCCTTCCCTGTCCCCACTTCCTGAAGCCCTATAAGTCCGCGAGCCTTCTGGCCAGTGGAAGAGTCTGTGTCATTCCCAGGCAGGGCTCAGGAAAGCTGCCTGTTCAATTGTTCATGTCCTCTCTTTTCTTCTCTTATCTGCCAGGGTCCCCACTGGTGACTGACTTTATGTGAAAGAGAGATGAACTTCCACTGGATGAAGCTACTGAGATTTGAGGGATTACCTGTAACAGAAGTTGATGTTACCTTAACCCTAACAGCAGCAAACAAGTCCCTAACTCCTAAAAAAGACTGAAAAAGATTTTATCATAACTGACTGAAGAACTAATGCAAGACACTTATGTCTTTAACCAGTGAAAATTAAGCACTTCCAACCAGCTCCATTTCATACAAAGTAACATTTATACCCACATCCCGACATAGGCCAAGAAAAATGAAAAACAAGGAAATGGAGAACATTTATCTTCTGACTGCATTTAAAAGATGTCAAAATAATTGGTTGAAAAACGAAAAGGTTAGTCAGTCCATGTTTTCAGGTACAAAGAGATAAATTAATTTTTTAACACCATATTGAGTGTTCTCAGTGGTTACAAAGTCGTCAGTCCATCTCATCAATTTAGACAAAAATAATACGGGTTTCACCAACCGAATCGTCTCTGAGACACCTGGTTATACCCATCAATTAAGCAGGCGCAAGGCTCTCATGAGAGCAAATGTGCAGATCAAGTGTCCTGTGCAGTTGGCTGCCAGATGTGCCTGAATGGCTTTCCATGATGGGTAATTATAGGAACAGAGAATCTGGCTAAGGTGGAACTAAAGAGCGGGTTTAGTATAATGATGTGAAATACACTGAATGAACCCAGGATATTGTTGATTTTTGTGTTGGTGCTTCTACCTCGTAGGCATATGTTTTGGCTGTTGTATAAGCATAACTTCCTGTGAAATCATTAACTGCAGTGAAAAATGTTAACAATGATGGAATTTAAAATTACATGTGCTCATTTATAGAGAGTACTACTGAAAACTTGTTTGAACAGAAAGTTTAAGGAAGTTAAATCATTCTTTGGTAGATTTTTAAACAGATTGTTTGGGATTTTTATTTCACTCTTGTACTGGTATTTAACATTTTATTATATTTGTCTAGATTTTGAAATCTTCAAAGAGTCTTTATATATTTCCCTGTAGCATTGAGTATGATGTCTAGTTTACCTCATGGGCACACTTTTTAATTTAGCCATATTTAAACTGGTAGTTTTAGAGTAGGTTACTATCACTTGCTGGCTGTGATCTTGGGCAAGTTAACTTAATTTCTCACCTGCAAAATAATAATAATGCCTACCTCATAAGAGTATTATAAAAATTAAATGAGATAATATATGTAAGGACCTTAGGAGGGTACCTGTCACAGAGTATATTTTTTGTTGTCATCTATTCTTATTATTCTTTTATTATTACCAGGTGATTTATATTTCTGAAAAGAATTCTCTGTAAATGGATGGAGTTTTCACATTGACTTAGTTATCATTTCAGAGTTTATCTAAATAAATGTATTATAATAAAAATCTTAGTGTCTAAGATCTTGACTTTTTCCCTCAGTTTCTGTCAGTTAACATTCTATCTAAAAAACTCAACAAGAAATCTATGCTTTGAATGAGCCAGAAGCACTGATATAAAAATTAAACAGTGAAGTCAACAACTATTTTGTCATGTTAAAAATTTATTCTTAGTGATCTGTTTGGTAATTTTAAATTTTAAGAGATGTCATTTTCCATCCTATTTGACAAACGGTGCTGGGGAAATTGGCTAACTATATGCAGAAGAATGAAACTTGACCCCTACCTCTCACCATCTACAAACACTGACTCAAGATGGATTAAAGACTTGAATGTAAGACATCAAACTATAAAAATCCTAGAAGAGAGCCTAGGAAATACTCTTCTGAACATCAGCCTAGGCAAAGAATTTATGAGTAAGTCCTCAAAAGAAAACACAACAAAAACAAAAATTGACAAGTGGGA